AAAAAAAAAAAAAAAAAGTAATAAATGGCCGGGTTCGGTGGCTCAGTCTGTAATCCCAGCACTTTGGGAGGCCGAGGTGAGTGGACTACCTGAGCCCACAGGTTCGAGATCAGCCTGGGAAACTAGGCAAGACCTCGTTTCAAAAATTAGCTGGGTGTGGTAGCACGCGCCTGTAGTTTCAGCTGCCTGGAAGGCTGAGGCGGAAGGATCACCAGAGCCCAGCAGGTCAACGCTGGGGTAGACATGAGTGTGCCACTGTCCTCCAGCATGGGCAACAGAGTGAGACTCCAACTCAAAAAAAAAAAAAAAGGTAATAAATAAGGATTTTTTTGAGAGTTGTTAAAAAAAAAAAACTTTTACAAAACTATTTAGAATGTGACTTCTAATTTATTGGCCCAACTATATTTAAGGTACTATATTTAGAAAATATGCTACTTCACACATTTTTTAATAAATCATAAATGTACTGAAACTGGCAAACCATTTCTTACTACTTATAAGTACCAAGCTCCTTATCACCATTTTCAGCAGTGTGGTAGAGTTTTTTTGTTTTTAATCCACTAATACTTTAACTCTCTTTACCACTGAAAATTTTAAAATGTGTAATCAAGTTATTATTTTGACTTGAGTAAAACAGAAAAGTCTTTAAATGACATTCAAGAGAGACGCCAATTTGTTGAATAATCTTCGATGACATCTTTTAGTTAAGATGCCAAAAAAGAACCAAAATAGCTAAATTATCTCATTCATTTCAGTCACCTCAAACAATAAGACAACCTATTGCAAATGTTAAGTTCCATTCATTCATTGCTCACCAAGTGAGAATATGAACATTCTCAGGTGGAAGTTTCCTCCCTTGTGGGACATTGTGGAAGAAGATAGGAGAACTATTTCCCTAAACAAATAAACATTTGACGATCAAAATACTTTATGATTTAGAAAGCAACTTTTCCAATTACAGCAAATCCTTTAATAGCCCCATTATATAACAATATGCATATCCCAATCACTGCCACCTTTTATAAAGCTGGTTCCCAAAGACCTGCTTAGCACAGCTAGGCTGAAGTGGACCTATGTTTAGATTTTTTTTTTAACAACTCTCAAAGAAATCCTTATTTATCATCTGTTTTTTTTTTTTGTTTTTTTCTTTTGAGTTGGAGTCTCACTCTGTTGCCCAGGCTAAAGTATAGTGGCACGCTCATGGCCACCCCACTGCCGACCTGCTGGGCTCAAGTGATCCTTCCACCTCAGCCTTCCAAGTAGCTGGAACTACAGGCGCACGCAACCACACCTGGCTAATTTTTTTATTTATTGTAGAGACGAGGTCTTGCCATGTTGCCCAGGCTGGTCTTGAACCCGCAGGCTCAGGCAATCCTTTCGCCTCAGCATCCCAAAGTGCCAGGATTACAGGCTTGAGCTACCACGTCTAGCCCAAAGTTTTTTTAAATATAAAATTTAAAAATACAGTATACCTGCATGCAGCCTACTTGCATAGGTAACCCTTACTTGTACCCCATATCTCATAATAAAAATTTTTTAAAATACAATATAACTATTTATATATCATTTGCATTTTATTATAATTAACCTAAAGATGATTTAAAGTATATGGGAGGATGTGTGTAGGTTACATACAAATACTGTACTACCCCATTTTATATCAGGAAGAGACTTGAGCATCCTCAGAGTTTGGTATCCACAGAGGGTCCTGGAATCCCCAACAAATCCCAAAGAATAACTGTAGAGAGAAACAAAACTAAACAATAAATCTTAGCCCTAAAGATTTCTGTTACATATGAAATCAAATTTACCTTCACAAAACGTGAATTTGTTCTTAAAAGTTTGCGGACTACCAACAGCAGGAAATCCATTTCTTCAGTTCGCTCATGTACCTACAAAATAAAAAAGAAGGCACCCCCACATGGTATCAGGCAAGGCAAGGGTCACTTCTAAAACAATGGTACCCCTGGGAGACTAAATCAATTCTTTCTGCTAAATGCAATTCTTCAGGGGACTAGTATCAGTCCTGGTTAAGAAGAAGGAAAGAATACTGACCCAAAGACCAAAGAGTACCCATGTGGTCACTGTCCCTCTCAATGTTTCTCCTTAGGGCCTTCCTGGTATGTGGGCAGAGTAATGTTCAGCACCCATTGTCCTATCCACTTAAAACCAATAGTACCCCAGGTCACTGTGACAACCACAAATTTTCCCACCCACCCCACACACAGAGAACCACTCCCATAGCCCCCCAGAGCCCCTGTCTGTCACATCCTCTGTCGGAACTTACAGGTATACTGTCATCTGAGCAAGCAAGTGCGAGAATGGAGATATGCCAGTCTAAAGGCGAACCTGCCTGACAGGTAATGTTCCACAATGTGTAGAACCTCAGTTCACAAGGGTGGGCAAGGGGTAGCCCTGGAAAAGTTGAGTCAGTCAAACAGGTAAAGCAGAACAAGGTTGGGAGGTCAACAACACTGACGCAGGAGAGCACTCGGGGAAAGCAGCTGCCTCACAGCCCTTCTCACTCAGAGACCTTACAGTCGGAGCCACCCCAAGGAGCCATACAGTCCACCCTCCCCACCCTGCCCTACCCCAGAACCAGCTAGTGCCAAAGGGCTATGTCACATGTGGCTATATTTCTAAAAGAAACCAGTTACTGTAGTTACTTAGGATACCCCACTGCACAAGGGAAAAATATGATTCTATCCTGCGACATTTCTTGGTCAAAGTGAAGAGATAGCTACTAAGTTTGAACAAGGGAGCTCTCCTCTGCTCAGTGTAAAGGGCCTGCCAATTTATTCTATGCCTAATTCTATTCCAGTCCCTACCATCTCTGAACTTACCACTGAAGTAGATGTGTCGGGAAGAAGCATAGAGAAAAGGAAAAAAATCAGTAGCTGAGCAATATTTAGCAACATCATAAATCTAACTCTTATGCTATCACCAAGCTCCAGAACACTTTGTCAACATAAACATCCTGACTCTTCCTTGAGAAGAAAAATCAAGGCTATCATCAGGGAAGAGCCCCAAGGTGACCTCTTTCCAGTTTTGAGATCCCTCCACCTGTACTCATCGTGGCAGCCTCTCCCCTGAGTTCACACATTCATTTCCCCTCCTCTGCCTTGAGGCCCTACACAGGCACTAGTTCCAGGATCTCTAGCCCTGTCCCTGAGCCAGCCTTTCTCCAAAGCACACAAATACATACACATCACAACGTACACCTCCACTGGACAGCAGCTGAGAGCAGAAACGATGACTTAATTTGTCTTTATAACCTCAGCACCTAGTGAGGCATCTTTTTCATAGCAGTACTCAAAAAATGTTTGTTGAATGAGTGATTTACCTAAAGCTTTTTCAAGAACTAAGAAGTTAAAAATACTATTCCTGCCAGGTTTGGTGGGACTCAGTCTATAATCCCGCGCTTTTGGGAGGCTGAGGTGAGTGGATTGCCTGAGCCCGTGGGTTCGAGACCCGCCTGGGCAACTTGGCGAGATCTCATCTCTACAATAAATCGAAAAATTAGCCAGGTGTGGTAGCAGGCGCCTGTAGTTCCAGCTACTCGGAAGGCTGAGGCGGAAGGATAGCCAGAGCCCAGCAGGTCAAGGCTGCGGTGGCCAGGAGCGTGCCACTGCCCTCCAGCCTGGGCGACAGAGTGAGACTCCAACTAAAAAAATAATAATAAAACTATTCCTTTTTAAACTGCTTGGCCATCTTCAATTTCTGCTCTTGTGTTTCTTTTAAAATTCAAATCATCCCAGAAAATAAGAACAACACTATTGGTAAACCTAAAACTTCAGGTAGCTGAGCCTAATCCATTCATTTATTAAGAAAACAATTATCCAAACACTAGCAATATAGTGGAAGAGCAGGAGCAGGAAGTTACTATCACAATGATGTGACAATCCTCTGCTGGCTACTGCTACCCCGTATGTCAAGATCTTGCAGAGAGCAGCCAACTTTTGTTCATCTATTATCGCATAGCTTTAGGAAAGAATGTAGTCAACACAGTATGAATGGGTTTATCTGTGTCACTCAAATGTGTATGTGCAAAGAAAGCTACTTAGAACAATGTCAAAAGCACAGAAAATAAAGGTAGGCATTAGCACCATAGGTTCTTGAGTAAACAACCCCGGGATGAACCTGAGCACTGAACTTCTTTAAGCTATAGTTTCCTTTCATGTAAAACAGGCTCAATTGTAATAAAAGGCCCAATAAATAACTACTGTAAACTTCATAATGCCACCTTTTGGCATTGCCTATTAAATTTAATTTGAGCTCTACCTCAAACTGTCAAAAGTTCATCACTGTATATCACACTATTTTGCAAGGAATAGTAGATCATTTTCACTGTCTCATATTCTCCCAAAACCACTACAGTAATTCAAAACCAAGTAAATGTAAACGAGATTTTAAATGCACCGGGCTCAGTGGCTCAGCCTGTAATCCCGCGCCTTTGGGAGGCTGAGGTGAGTGGATTGCCTGAGCCCACAGGTTCGAGACCCGCCTGGGCAGCGAGACCTCATCTCTACAATAAATCAAAAAGTCAGCCGGACATGGTAGCACATGCCTGTAATTCCAGCTACTTAGAAGGCTGAGGCGGAAGGATCGCCAGAGCCCAGCAGTTCAAGGCTGCGGTGGCCAGGAGCGGCCACTGCACTCCAGTCTGGGCGACACAGTGAGACTCCAACTCAAAAAAAAAAAAAGATTTTAAATGCACCAACACCAATTTATCTGTCATATATTTTGGTATTAGTAATTAGTAACACACATCAAGATAGAGTGGAGAAACCTTACCCTCAAAAGTTGCCCAAATGGTTTTATTTCAGACTCTATTAAGCACCCTAGCCCCATCTCACAACCTCCCACGAACTCTATTTGCTGATGTTTCTAATTCCCATAGAAATAAATCAAGCTTCTCAGGACAGAATTACTTATAAGGTTTAATCCACAAAAGTTTGGGATACAGCCAGTTCCAAAGTTCCTGGAAAAGTAGTTCAAACACAACAACCCCTTACCTTAAAAAAATCTTGTTTGAAATATAAACAAAATCAGTTAAATATTCCCTCCTTACTGAGAAAAGTCCAGAAAGTATAGGGGAAGGAAAAAATAAAGAAAGGTAAAATAGGCACAAAAACAGGGTTCAAAACAGAGGGGGATTTTTGCTGTTTTTTTTTTTAAGAAAAGTAAATAAATCTGTATCTTGTATTTATTTTAATAATTTTTTAAAAGGTATTATTGTCCTTGATTTAGAGGGAAACTATCTATATACAAATGAAAACTTTTTAACTATCTGAGTGTGGCTAACACTGTAAACCAGAGGTTAGCAGGCTTTTCCTGTAAGTCAAGATAGAAAATATTTCCAGCATGGCAGGATATACAATCTCTGTTGCAACTCTGCTGTTGTAGTGCAGAAGCAACTACAAACAATATATAAACAAATGAGTGAAACTATGTTCCAATGAAACTTTATTTATAAAAACAGGTGCCAAATTTAACCCAAGAGCTGTAGCCTGCCAAGCCCTGCTCTAAACAAGGAATCTTTTCATAGTCCTCAACATCCTCAACAATATTTCAGAACCAAGTCACAGACAAATTAAGCAAATATAGATTCAAAATGTTTCATGACCCTTTACAGATAGATAGCATTTGCAGTACCTTATACAATATTGTCTTATATAAGGACATAAGAGCAGAGTTACACGAAATACACACTTACCTCATCAATGAAAACATGCGTGAATTCCATCAAACTCTTAGCACTAACTATTTTCTGAAGAAGGACTCCTGTTGTCATATAAATCAGCCTAGTGTCCTCCGTTGCTATTTTCTCTAGCCCTACCTAAAATTGGGGAAGGAAAAGAGAAAGAAGAAAGAGTTCAGGTTTAAATTATGTTTCACTACCCAAGAATGTTATGTTCATTTTATAATGGAGGTAAAAAAGGGAACAAAATTATAATACAAAGGTATTATATTTCAAAAGATACATAGGGTCCAAATTAAAAGTGAAGTTCTCAAGTTGATTTTCTTTTTTGTGTGTAAAGGAGGTAGCTTTTCTAATAATACTGCCTATAAAATTTTGATATTAAAATAATTGTGTATCAAGACATCTTCTAGAATATAAAGATATAACTCAAAGGATAAAATTATAGAAGTCATGAGCCTGAGGATTTTCACTTCTTTCCTATTCAACTGGGAAAGAAATTAAAAATTATTTTCAAGAGTTCAGTTTCACTATTACTATTATTTTTATTTTTTTAGTTGGAGTCTCACTCTGTCGCCAGGCTGGAGTGCAGTGGCATACTCACAGTCACCCCAGCATCGACCTGCTGAGCTCCAGCAACCTCAACCTTCTAAGATGCTGGAACTACAGGCACACGCTACCACACCCAGCTAATGTGTGTGTGTGTGTGTGTGTGTGTGTGTGTGTGTGTGTGTGTGTGTGTGTGTGTGTGAGAGAGAGAGAGAGAGAGAGAGAGAGAGAGAGAGAGAGAGAGAAAGCAGGATTTATTGGGAGGACAGAAAAACTCCCACAGTGGGAGGGGACCCAAAGAGGTTGACCCTAACTTCTTTTTATTTATTGTAGAGACGAGGTCTTGCCAATTGCCTGGGCAGGTCTCAAACCCGCAGGTTCAGGCAATCCACTCGCCTCCGCCTCCCAAAGTGCTGGGATTACAGGCTGAGCCACTGAGCCCGGCCTACTATTTTTTTAAATTATGCCACAGTTCTGCTCTATAAGCAACTGGCTACATATTAATTTCCTGCAGAAAATAGCCATGTACTATCATCAACTTACATAGAAAAAAATTAACAAAGAGAGAGACGGTTGGCTTTCTCTCCCTCTCTTCCCCTCAGTCTCACCTGATAGCCCACCAGACCCCCCAGAGTCCAAGAGCGCTCTTTACTAATCCATCTGGCAATGCTGCTGGCCCCTATCTTCCGTGGCTGAGTAACCACAATGTTGCAGTAAGTAGAGCGTTGAATATAGTGATCCAAGATATATTGTGGAAGCTGAGTACTTTTACCACTTCCTGTGGCACCGTGTATAATTACCACAGAATTACTTTCTATCAAAGAAATAACCTAGAATTAAAAAAAAATTCTCTTTCAAAATTGCAACAAAACAAACAGTGATGTAAAGTATCATCTATGTTGGGAAGATTTTCTGGATTTAATTTTTGTATTTAAGTTAGACTTAACTAACCATTCTAAATATCACAAAAGAGAGCAAGTATACAAATGGATGCTACATTACAAACCAATTCTACACCTATATAACAGTAGCTATTAATAGCCATGGAAAAATCAGGCCAAGTTAATTTCAGTTCCCTGGGTCTCAGTTGCTGCTATCAAAATGAAAATATAAAATTGGATTTCTATAGCCTTTACTAATTCTAAGTGTCTATATTATTTAAAAATTGTGTAACAAGTCTGCATATAATTCTACTGAAAAACATGAAAACAAAGCTGTTGTTATACTCAAGTGGTTTTAAAATTCCATTTAAATTTTTTTTTTTTTTTTTTGAGTTGGAGTCTCACTCTGTTGCCCAGACTGGAGTGCAGTGGCCGCTCCCGGCCACTGCAGCCTCGACCTGCTGGGCTCCGGCGATCCTTCCACTTCAGCCTTCCAAGTAGCTGGAACTACAGGTGCGCACTACCACGCCCAGTTAATTTTTGGTTTTTTTTTATTGTAGAGATGAGGTCTTGCCAAGTTGTCCAGGTGGATCTCGAACTCGCGGGCTCAGGCAATTCACTCACCTCGGTCTCCCAAAGCGCGGGATTACAGGCTGAGCCACCGAGCCCGGCCCATTTTAAATTCTTGAGACACATTTTTTTTTTTTGAGTTGGAGTCTCACTCTGTCGCCCAGACTGGAGTGCAGTGGCCACTCCCGGCCTGAGCCCAGTGGGTCGATGCTGGGGTGGCTGTGAGTGTGCCACTGCTCTCCCTCAGCCTGGGCAATAGAGTAAGGCTCCAATTAAAAAAAAGAATTAGATGAAGTTTTTTTGTTTTTTGTTTTTTTGAGTCAGAGTCTCACTCCATCACCCAGACCGGAGTGCAGTGGCACCCTTGAGGCCACCCCAGCATCAATCTGCTGGGCTCAGGCAATTCTGCTGACTCAGCCTTCCAAGTAGCGGGAACTACAGGCATGCTACCACTCCCGGCTAATTTTTTAATTTATTGTAGAGATGAGGTCTTACCATGTTGCCCAGGTTGGTCGCAAACCCACAGGCTCAGGCAATCCTCTCACCTTGGCCCCCAAAGTGCTGGGATTACAGGCTTGAGTCACTGCCCCCAGCCAAAATGAAGCATTTTAAAAACGCTAATCCAATTCTTCCTCCACCATTCCCCCATCTCTACCCTAAACTTATTTAAGTTCTTATTTTTCCAGGAATTAATTTTTAGAGGCCAGTATTCAAATTAAAAATTAATTTGAATACTGGCCTCTAAAAATTAATTCATAAAGTATATCTCCTCTATAAAGTTGTATACTTCAATCTAAAGCAAAATAAAAATTAAATCTGAAATATTTCCAGTTTTATCTATAGCTCTACTAGTTTAGTTAATAAAGGCTTCAATACATTTACTTTTAGCTATGTTTAATAACATGCAACTAATTAGAAATTTAATCATTCTACTACTATAGTTGGCCTGGTATTGTTAATGTAATATGTCAATGATTGATCAATCAATAAGCAGGAAAAAAGGGGCAACACTGTATAGAAACCCAATGGAAATGCTAGGGTGTGTCATTTGCTTTATAAAAAAATTAGGCAGTGACTATCTTTAAATAAGAAGCTCTCCTGGGGAAAGACAGTGCTTACTTATGGATATTTTGAAGGAGGGAAAAACTAGATAACAAACTAAATGTGAGGAGATACACTCAGGTAAAGGTTAAACAAATTAAAGCACAGGTCAAAAGAAAAATCATCAATCTGGCCGTTACACAAAATCATCTCCACATCACCCTGAGCACACACCCTCCTCTTATCTGTCACAGAACCTTGCATGCCATAATGTGTTCACCTGGCACCTGGTAACTTTGAAATTATAAACCAAATATGTTGGGCCTAAGGCATTTAATCAAACAGCAAAATTACAGTATGACAAAAATAATTTTACCTCTTCCTTACATCGATTTATAGGCAAATCAGGATATTTATAAGTTGTCTCTGGGATGCATGTTACATTGCTTACTTTAGCCAAAAGTGGCCTTGGACCTGGATTCAGACAAAACAAACAAATATTATGTTCCTTGTTATCTGATCAAAGACAATGTAAATAGCACAATATAACATCTATATATACAACATACACACACACACAAATACAAAAATACACTTTATTTTTTATTTTTATTTTTTTTTGAGTTGGAGTCTCACTCTGGTGCCCAGGCTGGAATGCAGTGGCATGCTCCCAGCCATTGCAGCCTCGGCCTGCTGGGCTCCGGCGATCCTTCTACCTCAGCCTTCCAAGTAGCTGGAACTACAGGCATGCGCTCTCATGCCTGGCTAATTTTTTATGTATTGTAGAGACAAGGTCTCACCAAATTGCCCAGGTGGGTCTCCAACCTGCGGGCTCAGGCAATCCACTCGCCTTGGCCTCCCAAAGTGCTAGGATTATAGGTTGAGCTACCGAGCCCGGCCCAAAAATACACTTTCTACAGGCTAATATTGCTAGCAGGGTAATTAATAGCCCACTATTAATAATGTATAGCAGTGAACTGAGAACATTCCTATCCCTCCATCACAGCAACTAATACTGCAGGCTTAGCACTAACTTCTAAGATAACAGGCCCATAAAAGACAGTACTCATCACTTGATTAAATGGTAATTAAAACAACTAAAGATAAAACTTTTCCTTGAAATTTCTTTTGAAATTTCAAAAGAATGCATCAATTTATTAAATGTGCATTCCTTGCTACTACAATCAGTGATCCCAACAGATAAATCAAACGTAGCTTAGGAACAACAGGAATCATGAAAAACGGCAATTTTTGCCTGAGCCCGCAGGTTCGAGACCCGCCTGGGCAACTTGGCGAGACCTCATCTCTACAATAAATCAAAAACCAGCCAGGAGTGGTAGCACGTGCCTGTAATTCCGGCTACTCGGAAGGCTGAGGCGGAAGGATCGCCGGAGTCCAGTGGGTCAAGGCTGTGGTGGCCGGGAGCAGCCACTGCACTCCAGTCTGGGTGATGGAGTGAAGCTCCAACTCAAAAAAAAAGAAAAAGGGCAATTTTACCCAGTACAGATACATGCTCTGGTGCTCTGACCAGGCATGCTTATCATCCTCTTGTAAGCTCATGCACCGCTCTCTGGCTACATATTTGATAATTGGAACTCTGGTCATCACTTGACAAACTAACAAATCATCAAAATTCACAAACTTTTGCTGAAAATAAGTTTTTACTCCCCAAATAAGTAAACTCTTAAGCCTCCCTGTCTCTCTCCCAAATTTAGCACCACACTCATTCCCTCCCCCACAGTCACCTTCCCTTTCCCCAGCCCCCATGTCTGTCCCAACACCTCCTTATCTATGTGCTGCCATTGGCCCTTCCTGCTGATAAAACATGCAGCCAAGCAGTTCTTTTGCTCTCCTACATATTTTTCCTTACATATAGTCTCACTTTCATAATTGGTCTAATAATTATCATTAAAACACGGCAGTTTTCCTATAGCTGAATCAAGGTGTGTGGTACTTGTTCTCAATGTTACAAAGAAGCCAGATCTGTCATAATCCCTCAAAGCAGAAACAGCCTGTTTGTGGTCAGCTGTTCTTCCCACACCATTAGTGACCATTGACTCAGGGGGAAGGTTCCCTAAGTCCTGCCTGTATAGCTTTCTAATCTTCTGATCAACCTCACTAGTGACAGTCAAGCTCACTATCACAGGGCCTTTCTTTCCATTATCGCATCTCGCTGGCCCTTCACAACTCTTCTCCGTTCTATCACAATCACTGATGCTGTCTTATTTTCCCAACTGGTGTACCGAGGCTTATTTAAGCATAACACATGAAAGAAAGGAGAATCTCCATGACCCCTGAGAATCAAGATAGACTAAGAGGGAGAAGCCCTTGACCCCAAACACAGCTAGGAGACAGAGGGATAGGCAAGTAGTTGGGGACAGAGTAGGGGTGATAAGCTGAGGAATAACTATTCAAAGGGAGAGAAAATGACAAAGATTCTTTTAGAAAGACAAAAAAAGAAGGCAGCTATAGTCTTTTTGCTAAAAGATATTAAGCCCTGGTTCACGTTCACCATACTGCTAAACGAGCCTGTTATTTGACAATATTGACAGGTCTCACATTACTTGATTACATGCATTTTGAAGGTTGCTACTTAAAGATAGAAATTTTACAAGAAAAAAAAATGCCAAGTCCTAACTGTGCTGTCTACACCATAACCCCTTCTCCATGTAATGCAAAACACAAGCTGACGTTTTTAGGTCACTGGCTGAAGCAGACCCAGCACAGATTAAGTTCTGCCTCCATATATACTGCCAAAGGGTGGACAAGAAACCAAATGGCAGAATTGTTCACAGCTGTATGGCTTTTTCATCTCTATATCAGCAACAAAGTAAAAGGAAAACCATCAAGTAATCTAAGGTAAATCAATAAACTACATATGAAAAATTGAAATCCAAAAATGGTCTAAGAAATACCTCAACCTCCAAATTTGCTATTCTTACTTTCCAGTTATCTCTTAATCCTACATTATTAACATTAAAATATTTACATAAACTGGGAAAAACTGAAAATCATTAAAACTGCTACTTCTGGCCAGGTGCGGTGGCTCACACCTGTAACTCTAGTGCTTTAGGAGCCGGGGTAGGAGTATCACTTAAGGCTAGGAGTTCAAGACCAGTCTGGGCAACAAAGCAAGACCCCATCTCTACAAAAAAATTCAAAATTAGTTGGGCATAGTGGCACACGCCTGTAGTCCCAGCTACTTGGGAGGCTAAGGCAGGAGAATCTTTGAAGCCCAGGAGTTGGAGCTATGATAGTGCCACTGCACTCCAGTCTGGGCAACAGAGCAAGACCCTGTATCTAAAAAACAAAAATTTTTAATTGCTAGTTCTCTTCACTAACCCACACCACTATATCATCAACAACAAAATATAAAATCTAACCAAAAAGTTCAGCAATTAGAGGTTTCAAAACAGCATGTAACAGATTTTACTATATTACTGATTTAACCCCAAAATTAAATCTTCAAAATAGATAATTATATATCACTTTTCTAAGTATGGGACAGCATTCTGAATACAAAATTAAACTTAACCTGAAGGGAGAATAAGGTTTCCCTTTCAGCTATTAGACATTGCACATAGGCCATTCTCTTAAAACCAGAAGCTAAAAGGGAGATGAAAACAACTAAATATATCATCAAATTAAAAAGGAGGCAGCATCATGGTCTATAATCACAACCTAAAGACACTATCCCAGTACAAATTCAAATTGTCATGTGAAAGCAACAGAACCCTGCAGGAGTTCACAGTCTGGAATCAAGCTCACACTGCTAGGAAAAATTTCATTTATCAGTACTATTAAATATCAATTTTTTAAAAAATGATTAACCTATAGTTATGTAAAATGACTTCAATGTAACCTATAGAAATTCACTGAATGTGTGTCCTTGGGTCTATATTTAGAAAAAATTTTTAAAAACATTTATAAGTGAAATAACAGCTGTGCACAGTGGCTCAAGCCTATAATCCCAGCACTGTGGGAGGCCAAGGCAAGAGGATTGCCTGAGTCCAGGAGTTCGAGACCAGCCTAGGCAACTTGGCAAGACCTTGTCTCTAAAAAAGAAAAAAGAGAGAAAAAAGAAAGAAAAAAACAAGAAGTGAAATAACATCCGTATCACACCAAAACTGGAAGAATTTTAAATCAAAGCAATTTATAGCAGGATATAATAAAATGTTCATGTTGAAACCTGTGGTGCTGGTCTGTAATTAGAGGCTTCGGTGTGATCTCATGGTTTTAATATAAATAGACATAGAAAAGGCTTTATGTCTACACACACGTACATACAAGTATGTGTACATACACACAATATAATCTGATCTCACTTCCTCGATGCTCTAGAGGCACATGAGTACTACGAAAACACGGGCAGCATCTTCCTACCTCCTGTGGCCCCTTCTCCCTCACTCCCTGTGCCCAAAGCATCACCAAGTCTGGCCAGTTTGTCCCTCAACTGGCTCTCTGTCTCCACTGCCATCACCCTGGTCAAAGGCACCATCGAGTCTCATTAAACTTAACCTGAAGGAAGAGCTGGACTTGTGCAATTCCTACTGTTCTCCTCAAGTCCACTCTGGCCCCCTCCAACCCATTCTCAAAAACATGGCCAGTGTTCTTTTCAAAACTCCAATCTAGTCACATGACACCTATCTTCTCCCTTCACACTCATCCTTAGAAAAACATAGAACCTTTCATTGCTTCCTACTGCTCTGAGTATTAAGACCAAAATTCTTAGTATGGCCCAAAGGCCCTATTACTGATCTCGTCTAAATGAGCCAACCACATCCAACTGTTATTAGTCTTCTACTGCTACTGTAACATATTATCACAAACTCAGTAGCCAAACAACACTCATTTATTATCTGACAGTTCTGAAAGTCAGTAGTCTAAAATCAGTCTCACACTGGGCTAAGATCAAGGTGTCAACAGGGCTGGTTCCTTCTGGAGGTTCTGTGAGGAAGAATCAGTTCCCTTGTCTTTTCAGCTTCTAGAAGCTACCTGAATTCCTTGGCTCGTGGCCTCTTTCTCACATCACTCCAACCTATAGCTTCTATTGTCACATCTCCTACTACTGATTCTGATAGTCCTGTTTCCCTCTTATAAAAACTATGATGACATTGGGCCCACCTGGACAATCCCATCTTAAGATTCTTAACTTACATCTGCAAAGTCCCTTTTACCATAAGGTAACAAATTCACAGGTTCTGGGGACAAAGACATAGACCTCTTTGGGAGGCTATTATTGAGCCTCTGGCTGACCCTGCCCAGCTTTCCATACCCTATCGCTATTCCCTAGCAACACCGGCCCCTCTTTCAGGGCTGGAACACTGGGCTTTCTTCCACCACAAGGCCTCTGCACACATTTCCCCTCACCCCTGATAAAATGCCTAGGTAAGGTCTACTCACTCTTCAACTCCTACGCTCAGTTGTCACTTTCCTGATACCCCAACCCAAATCAGAAATCCTTGTTTTATGCCCTCACTGAGCTATCTTTCAGAACACTTATCTCCAGAAGCATTTATCTGTATAACTGCAAGATTAAATAATCTCTATAAAAGGGTCCAAGTCTTTTTTACTTGTCATATTCTTATGGCCTCATATAGTCCCTGGCATACAACTTGATAATATCAGTGGCTGAGTGAATCCTCTACATGTAGCCAAAGTTATAGTTTATGTGACTGCTGAATGAAAAGATCCTAGAGAAATATTTTAAGATGTCATGGATAGAGAAGACAAAGACAGTATCACATATGACTCTAAATCAAAAGCTACAAGAACAGACACTTTGAATTGCAGGCATTCATTTCTATATTTCTAAATAGTGGCAATCCATTCACACACTACAGGTCCAGCATGTACAGTGCACTGAGTTCACGCATGTGCTCCTGGGCCAGTACATGGGTGTGACAAGACAGATCACATCACACAGTCATCTATAGGCTAACGAATGTGTTTCCCAAATGGAAAACACATTTTGTTGTTTGGGATTTTATTTGTTTGTTTGTTTGAGATGGAATCTCACTCTGTCGTCCAGGCTGGAGTGCAGTGGCACACTCATGGCCATCCCAGCATTGACCTGCTTAGTTCAGGCGATCCTTCTGCCTCAGCCTTCCAAGTAGCCAGAACTACAGGTGCATGCTACCACGCCCGGCTAAACCTTTTATTTATTTATTGTAGAGATGAAGTCTCACCAAGTTTCCCAGGCTGGTCTCAAACCCCAGGGCTCAGGCAGTCCACTCGCCTCAGCCTCCCAGAGTGCTGGGATTACAGGCTAAGCCACTGAGCCCAGCCCCAAATGGAAATATTAGATGATGGATCTCTTCCCAAAGTAACACATATGGCTATTTTATGCCTCTATAGAAGCTGCACAGTACTCCACTAATGGATAAAGAAAGTCACCAATCTTCTGTTTACTGACATTTAAGAGACTTCTAAGACTTCCCATAGATAAGTAACGATGCAATAAACATTCTTATACATACGACTTTGTACTTTCCTTAGCATAAATAGAAACTGGATCAAAGAGTACACATCTTTTGAAAGATCACTTGTGGTAATAATGGACTGCGTTGTTCAGACAAATCTCTCTCCCTCCTGAGGGCAACTAAAGTTTCCAGATGAAATACACAAACATCTCCTTGAAAGCACTAAAGGGTTGATGAGATAGAGGAGACACCAGGTCAAAGCCTATAATAACACAGCAAGGAAGGCAAAGAACTCAAGGTTGCTTTTTGCCTCTAAGGTGAAAGATAAATGATAAATTAACCAGAATACAGCATGAAAACCAAAAAAAAAAAAAAAAAAAAAGAAAGAAAGAAAAATGCAAAACTAAATGAGAGAGTGGGGGCTGGGCTCGGTAGCTCAGCCTGTAATCCCACGCCTTGGGAGGCCGAGGTGAGTGGATTGCCTGAGCCCGCGGGTTTAAGACCTGCCTCGCCAACTTGGCGAGAATTCATCTCTACAATAAATCAAAAAATCAGCCAGGTATGGTAGCGCGCGCCTGTAATTCCGGCTACTCAGAAGGCTGAGGCGGAAGGATCGCTGAAGCCCAGCAGGTCGCGAGGCTGCGGTGGCCGGGAGCGGCCACTGCACTCCAGTCTGGGCGACAGAGTGAGACTCCAACTCAAAAATAAATAAATTAAATAAAATAAAAAATAAATAAATGAGAGAGTGGGGCATAGATGAAAGCTCAGAATTTTCCAGAATTAATGAAAAAATACCAATTGACATTGTCAAGAGGCCCAAATAAATCCCAAGGAGGAGAAGGATTAATACAATGTTTTGTATAGACTGTATTTCATAACTTTCAAAAGTCTAAAAAACAAATGTCACTTGAACCCACATGTGTGTCCATATGTACACAGGATGGAGGGCAGGAAGCAGAGTTTCTCAGATGAATTGGCAGGAAGTCTGTGACAGATAACATCTTATAATGACTAGCACCTGATGCTAATAAGATAATTCTCTCAGGAAAAGAAATGTCATACTCTTGAAAGTAACTTAACTCCAAACTGCACAGTTGTACCCTTGGGGAAGGAACATTTAAGAAGAACTTTTTATTTTATACATTTCCACATTGGTTAAAATTTTTTTTAGTACGTTCATTGTTTTGGGGAGTTTTCAGAGATGGAGTCTCACTCTGTCACCCAGGCTGGAGTGCAGTGGCATACTTGTGGCAACCCCAGCCTCAACCTACTGGGCTCAGGCAATCCTTCTGCCTCAGCCTTTCAAATAGCTGGAACTACAGGCACGTGCCACTATGCCCAGTTAATTTTTTGATTTATTAGAGACAAGATCTTGCCAAGTAGCCTAAGCTGGTCTTGAACCCCTAGGCTTAAAAATTCCTCTTGCCTCCGCCTCCCAAGGTCCTGGGATTACAAGCATAAGCCACCGTGCCTGGCCTGTTTACTGTTTTTAAAAAGCTCTTGTAAGTTTTTAAATATAAATGTCAAATAGTTTTATTTAATAGTAAGGCAAGATACCCTTATTAGTCTTCCAAAGAGAAGACTATTTAGGAACTATAAGATAGGAAAAAGCCAGGCTCGGTGGCTCAGCCAGTAATCCCGCGCCTTTGGGAGGCTGAGGTGAGCGGATTGCCTGAGCCCGTAGGTTCAAGACCCACCTGGGCAGCAAGACCTCATCTCTACAATAAATCAAAAAATCAGCCGGGTGTGGTAGCACATGCCTGTAATTCCGGCTACTTGGAAGGCTGAGGTGGAAGGATCGCTGGAGCCCAGCAGGTGGAGGCTGCGGTGGCCACTGCACTCCAGTCTGGGTGACAGAGTGAGACTCCAACTCAAAAAACAAAAACAAAAACAAAAAAAGATAGGAAAAATGAACATTTTACAACATATCATATACTCATTCCCCCAAAAATTCTGAATTCACAAGCAGTATGGATTCCTTACTGTGACCAAAATACTATATTTCTTAAAGACTTTTAAGAACTTTTTTTTTCTTTTTAGAGATGGGATCTCATTATGCTGCCCAGGAGTAGCTGGGATTTCAAGCATGTGTCACCACACACAGCTATGAACTTAATGTCTTAATGTGGAAACCACTCACACATATAGGACATTTAAAGATATCAGTTTACCTGGCCTACTCGTTGGTCGATCACTGCCATACATATCAAGTTCTTGTGCTTCAAGTTGTCTATATTTGTTAATATACTCCATTTCTGAGCTCCTTTGACTGAGTGACCTGAAAAGAACAGTAAAAGTTAGAATACTTTTTACAAAAAAGAAAGAAAGAAAGAAATCTCTGGCAACTAGAGAAGTTTTTGAATCATTATTTTACATTAAGTCATGGGGAAAAAATGCTAATAGTCAATAAACAAATGAAAATATGGTCAAACTCACAGTTACTAGGTAGATGCAAATTAAAACTATGAGAAACCATTTTTTAAACATCAAATTGGCAAAAAAGGTACATATTCTCAGAATATTTATGGGGAAAGAATGGTAAACAGGTTAGACCATTTATTCTGACGGACAAGCTACAGTGTCTATTAAAACTTAAAACACACATCTCTACAATTCAACACCTTCCCTCAGCATCTTTCTTAAAGAAATATTTGCACACATGAACAAAGAAGCATGTGAAGACATGCACACAAGCATTCATTTATTCAGCAAATATTTACTGAACACCTACCACATGCAAGGCATGGTCTGACACCAGAGGCCTAGAAGGAAACAAAATATAAGTCCTTGCCCTCATGAAACTGCCATTCCAATGAAGGAGACATGATATATATCTAAGATGTTGATTATTCATGTGGGGAAAAAATAAAACTGGGTGAGGACATAAAGGATTTCAGGGAGGAATGGTACTTTTTCATAATATTTATCATTAAAGTCTGAAAAAATTGTCCAACAGAGGGCAAGCTAAAATACTTTTAGTTAATGTATATCATTTTTAAAGAATTTCATGGCTCAATTCATGCCAATAGAAAAAAGTGTCCAGAAAAGTAAGTGAAAAAAAGACATTTGTCATGATAGACATAATATGCTAATATCACTGTTTTTCTTATTAATGTCTACCTTAAATGCACCATTGTCAGAGGAGACAGTATGATACTGATTCTTGAAATTTGAGACTTTATGTGATAATTTTTTTATGTGTTTTATGGTTAGTTTTTTATGTGTCAACTTGATTGTGCTTAAGGGATGTTCAGATAGATGGTAAAACACTATTTCTGGCTGTACCTATGAGGGTGTTTCCAGAGAGATTCCCATTTTAATCAGAAGACTGAGTAAAGATCTGCCCTAACCAATACAGGCGGACATCATCAAATCCATTGAGTGCACGTCCAGGGAAAACAAAAAGGATGAAGAAGAGTGAAGTCTCTCTCTATTCCTTCTCAAACTGGACATCCTGCTTCTCCTGCCTGGGGACATTGAAGTGCCTGGTTCTCAGGCCTTCAACTCCAGGACTTACACCAAGAAGCCCCTCATCCCAGGGTCTCAGGCTTTCAGCCTTGGACTGGGAGTTACACCATCAGCTCCCCTGGTTCCCAGGCCTTCAAACTCAAGACTGAATTACACCACCACTTTCCTTGTTCTCCAGCTTGTAGAAGATATATAGTGTGACTTCCAGAATCATGTAAGCCAATTATCATACTATATCTCCTCTTATAGATCTCTATATATCCTACTGGTTCTGTTTCTCTGGAGAACCCTAACAAATACACTTTAATAAAATGCTGTTTGCATCAAAGTCAACTTTTGCCTGATACTAACAGTTGTATCAACATTCTTCTGGCTACTCTTTCCTGATATTTACTCATTAATTCACTCAACAAATAAGAGTGCTCCAGGTGAAGTCAAAGGAGGGTCAGGAGGGCTAGATGGCTCTCACATGAGTAGTCAAGAAAAGGATGGTAAGAGATGGGGAGAAAGAAGGGTATGGGGAAGAGCCAAGGGTATTGGGGAGGGGCTAGAAACAATTTTAAAGATTTTAGCTTTTGTTCTAAGATGGGTTTTGAACAGAGACAGAAATAACAATATCTGACTTTTATTTTAACAAATATGACTCTGACCAGGTGAAGGGGAGCAGATGATCACCTGGGGAAAAAAATTGCAAAATATAACAAAGCACATTAAGAATTCCTATAAGCCGGGCTCGGTGGCTCAGCCTATAATCCCGCACTTTGGGATGCCGCACTTTGGGAGGCTGAGGTGAGTGGATTGCCTGAGCCCATGGGTCCAAGACCCGTCTGGGCAACTTGGCGAGACCTCATCTCTACAATAAATCAAAAAATTAGCTGGGTGTGGTAGCGCACGCCTGTAGTTCCAGCTACTTGGAAAGCTGAGGCAGAAGAATCACCGGAGCACAGCAGGTTGAGGCTGCGGTGGCTGGAAGTGTGTCACTGCACTCCAGTCTGGGCGACAGAGTGAGACTCCAACTCAAAAAAAAAAAGAATTCCTATAAATCGCTGTTATGAAAAAAACATAGAAATGTGATTTAACTTTCAAAAAGTAAATGCATGAGTACTTTAATTAAAAAAAATTTTTTTTGAGTTGGAGTTTCACTCTGTCACCCAGGCTGAAGTGCACTGGCATGCTCATGGCCACCACAGCTTCAACCTGCTGGGCTCAGGCAATCCTTCCATGTTGTCTGCAAAGTAGCTGGAACTACAGGTGCATGCTACTACATCCAGCTAATTTTTTGATTTACTGTAGAGACGAGGTCTTGCCAAGTAACCTAGGCTAGTCTTGAACCCTTGGGCTCAGGCAATCCTCTTACCTCCGCCTCCCAAAGTACTGGGATTACAGGTGTTAGCCACCATGCGTGGCTAATAAAAGTATTTTAAAGAAGAAACAGTACTGAGAAAAAAAATTTAATATCATAGTTTCACCTCAAAATTTTTTTAAATTTCATTAGCTTTGGGTAATACAAATAGTTTTTGGTCTGAACTTTAAGAGTACCCATGCCGGGAGTAGTGGCTCAAGCTTGTAATCCCAGCACTTTGGGAGACTGAGGTGAGAGGACTGCCTGAGTTCACGGGTTTGAGACCAGCCTGGGCAACCTGGCAAAACCTCATCTTCTACAATAAAAAAAAAAAAAAAAAAGAGAGAGAGAGTATCCACTATCCCCATCTGTACACACTGTACCTAATAGGTGATTTTTTTTTTGTCTCTTTATCTTTTCCCCCTCTCCCTTCTGAGTCTCTAGTGTCCATTATACCATTCTCTATGTCCTTGCATATTCTTAAATTTAGTTCCTACTTATAAGTGAGAACATGCAGTGTTTGGTTTTCTATTCCTGAGTTAATTCACTTAGGATGATGTTCTCCAATTCCATCCAAGTTGCTGCAAAAGATATTATTTCATTCTTTTTGATAGCTGAATGGTATTCCATAGTGTATATGCCATATCTTCACTAACCGCTGATCAGCTGTTGGCATTTAGGTTGATTCCATATCTTTGCAATTGTGAACTGTGCTGTGATAAACATGTGGGTGCAGGTGTCTTTTTTATATAACTACCACTGTTCCTTAGGTTAGATACCTGGTAGTGGGATTGTTGGATCAGATGGTAGACAAAATTTTAGTTATCTGACTAACCTCCATAGCACTTTCCATAGAGGTTGTACTAAATTACACTCCCACCAACAGCATATAAGTGATTCCTTTTCTCCACATTCACATCCATTTTTAAATTTTTTATTATTTATTTATTTATTTATTTGAGTTGAAGTCTCACTCAGTCACCCAGACTGGAGTGCAGTGGCCGCTTCCGGCCACCACAGCCTCGACCTGCTGGGCTCTGGTGATCCTTCCCCCTCAGCCTTCCAAGTAGCTGAAACTACAGGTGCGCGCTACCACACACGGCTAATTTTTTTGATTTTTATTGTAGAGATGAAGTCAAGTTGTCCAGGCGGATCTCGAACCCGTGGGCTCAGGCAATTCACTCACCTAGGCCTCCCAAAGGCGCGGTTACAGGCTGAGCCACCGAGCCCAGGCTTTTTATTTTTTAATAATGGTCATTTTGACTGGTATAAGGTGGTATCTCATTGTGGTTTTAATCTGCATTTCCCTGATGATGAGTGATGTTGAGATTTTTTCATAAGTTTGTTAGCCATCTGTATATCTTCTTTTGAGAGATGTCTGTTCATGTCATTTGTCCACTTTCCCCACCCCGCCTTACTCATTTTTTATGGGGTATTTGCTTTTTTCTTGCTGATTTGTCTTCTTTGCAGTTCTAAATATCAGTCCTTTATCAAGTTTGTGAATATCTTCTCTCATCCTGAAATGACCATATGATTTTTGTTTTTAATTCTATTTATGTAGTGAATCACATTTATTGACTTGCGTATGTTAATCTACCCTTGCATCCCTGGGATAAAACCCACTTGGGTCATGGTGTATTTTTTTATGTGCTGTTTAACTCAGTTTGCTGATATATTTTGTTGAGGATTTTGGTGTCTATGTTCATAAGGGATACTGGTCTGTAATTTTCTTTTTTTGTTGTGTCTTTTCCTGGCTTTGATATCAGAGTGATACTGGCCTCATAGAATGAATTAGGGAGGATTCTCCCCTCTTCAATCTTGTGAAATAGCCTCAGTAAAATTGTTACCAGTTCTTCTTTGAAGGTATGGTAGAATTCAGCTGTGAGTCCGTCAGGTCCTGGACTTTTTTTGTTGGGAGACTTCTAATTACTGTTTCAATCTCATTACTTGTTATTAGCCTGTTCAGGGTTTCTATTTCTTCCTGATTCACGGTTAGGGGTTGCATGTTTACAAAAATTTATCCATTTCCTCTAGATTGTCTAGTTCAGGAGTCCCAAACCCCCAGGCCATGGACCAGTATCAGGTAGGAACTGGGTCACACAGCACGAGATGAGTGGCAGGCAAGCTTCATTTGTATTTATAGCCACTCTTCATTGCTCACATTACTGCCTGAGCTCCATCTCCTGTCAGATCAGCAGTGGCATCAGATTCTCATAGGAATGTAAACTCTACTGTGAACTGCACATATGAGGGATCTAGGTTGCACACTCCTTATGAGAATCTAATGCCTGTTGGATCTGAGGTGGAGCTGAGGCAGTGATGCTAATGCTAGGGAACTGCTACAAATACAGATTAACATTAGCAGTGAGGTTCGACTGCACATCCTCCCTCCCCCCATCTGTAGAAAAACTGTCTTCCACTAAACCAGTCCCTAATGCCAAAAAGGTTGTGGACCACTGATCTAGTTTGTTTGCACAGAGGTATTCATAATAGTCTCAGGTGACCTTTTGAATTTCTATCATATCAGTTATAATGCTTCCATTTTCATTTCTCATTGAGCTAATTTGAGTCTTCTTTTGTTTTTTAATCTAGTTAGTGGTCTATCAATTTTATCTTTTAAAAAAAAACAATTTTTTGTTTCATTGATCCTTTGTATCTTTTATTTCCATTTCATTTAATTCTGCTCTGACCCTACTTCTTTTCTTCTACTAGCTTTGGGTTTGGTTTGTTCATGTTTTTCTGGTTAGCTAAGTAGTATAAAATGTTATAAGACTTGAAGTCAACACTGGGGTGGCGGTGAGTGTGCCACTGCACTCCAGCATGGGCAATGGAGTGAGACTCCAACACCCCCCCAAAAAAAAAACAGAATAAATGACAAATCCTGCTTTATTTGCAATCAAATGCTATATAAGGCAAACTTGATTTTAATTCATAAAAACTTATGCCTGGCTCTTTAGAGCTTGTTCTTCAAGGTTCTAAAATTTTGTCTTTCTAGACTTCTCTTTTTATGTATTTCCTTACAGATATTAACATTTTATATAGACAAAAACACATATTGTGAATAATAATGGTCCTATTTCACTTCAAGTCTTATAACATTTTATACTACTTAGCTAACAAGAAGTAGCCTATAAAACCATGACAATGACCAAAAAGAAATGATCTAATTAGCAGTTTAAGCTTTATATCTTCCACACAAAATATCCTAATAAGGCTGTAATTCACTAGAAACAATTCACTTATTCAATTTACTAAAATGTTTAATAAATAAAATCCATTTTTAACCTGGTTATACCCTGATAACAGGAAAGATTAATTAAAAGGTACTTCCTTACTTCGACTTACAAATATTTATGTTCTCAAGCTATATGACAATAAGGGAAATTCTGTAATCAGATAATGATATTTGGTGTCCACTTCAATCTGATAATTTCAAGAGACAGGACAAAAAAATAAAATTTGTAATGCAAGTAGCACACACTGAGTACCAGAAAAACTGGTTTACACAATTTTTTTTTTTTGAGTTGGAGTCTCACTCTGTCACCCAGACTGGAGAGCAGTGGCCATTCCCGGCCATCGCAGCCTCGACCTGCTGGGCTCCGGCGATCCTTCCACCTCAGCCTTCCGAGTAGCTGGAACTACAGGCACGCACTACCACGCCCGGCTAATTTTTTGTTTCACTGTAGAGATGAGGTCTCACCAAGTTGCCCAGGAGGGTCTCGAACCCGCTACCCTGCTCAGCTGATTTTTGATTTATCGTAGAGATGAGGTCTCGGCAAGTTGCTCAGGCGGGTCTTGAACCCGTGGGCTCAGGCAATCCACTCACTTCAGCCTCCCAAAGTGTGGGATTACAGGCTGAGCCACCGAGCCCGGCCCAGCCTCTCTTCTAAAATACTTTTTCTTTCTTTTCTTTGGGTATCCACATAGTAATTCTCTTTTTCAGGGACTCAAACATCAACTATTTTTTCTTCTGAGAGTAAACATCAACACTTTTCTTTGACCCTCCTTTTCCTTTGAACTCTGGCTTTATATTTACTGTTAAACTTAAGGAAAGACTGGGCTATGTTACTATTCTATGGTCTTCTCCCTTTTTTCTAATGCATTTTGATTAGATTCTGCTGTGTCCTCTACTGTAATTACTGGCTTTCAGTGACTCAGGAGATACTACTGAATGGTGTGACTTGGTTGGTTAGGAATTGGTTAGAACTTAAGTGGTCTACTTAAGTGTTTGCAGTGGTGAACAAGACGGATCTAGTTCCTATTCCTACGGAGCCAGCCCTTTCAATAGGAAGACAAATATAAGTACATGAATCTCATATCATAAGGTAAATATAGATCATCATGGGTTATTTAATATACTTGAAGTGCTTCCTCCTCTTAGATGTTAGGGAAGGCCTTTCTGAGTGGGATGTCCTTTGAGCAGAGATGTAAACATCAATGAGCTACCCATTCAAAGAGTTCCTTGAGGATAATCTCCTTTATCCTCTTATTTGACTCTTGTCTTGGCGTTGACACCATTATCCAAGTATGACCTTCACAGAACTTGTCTTACCCCCTCAGCTCATATTGGATACACTTTCCTTTGAACTTAATTGTGTAAACCAGCCAGGCTGGGTGGCTCAGCCTGTAATCCCAGCACTTTGGGAGGCTGAGGTGAGTGGATTGCCTGAGTCCGCGGGGTCGAGGCTATGATGAGCCATGATCATGCCACTGCACTCCACCTGAACAACAGTGAGAATTCCCCCAACTCAAAAATGAAAGACAAGACAGAGTCAGTTGACCCTAAACTGAAGGGTCAGAAGTGAGCATGGCAAGAGTTGGAGAACAGTAAGGCCTAACTGAAACAAAAGATGCACTAGGGTAGAGCAATAAAACAAGCCAGGAAGGAAGAAATAATGCAAGACCAAAGAGGGCCTTGAAGATAAATCTGGTTTATGTTCCATATCCAATGTATTGATATTTTAGTTACCACTTCAGAGAAGAAAAAACTTTCAGTAGTAACAAGAAGGTTATTCAAAGAAGGAAGTGGCAAGACTCACTGTAATTTTAGTATAAAATTTGTAAGGACATTTCTGTCATGATAAACTTTACTCCTTTCCTTCTCATAGTACTACATGCAATGTAATGTGAAAACCTTCTACTTGAAGATAATGAATCTTGACATCTGGCTTTTTCTAACATATAAGAAATAGGAACTGTAGAATGATCACACATATCACTCTTGATCATCCACGACATGCAGGTCTGATGTAAACAATGTCTATTCTTCACAGCTCGTTTGAAGGGAAAAGCAACAGAAGAAACAAAATATTATAAAAGGAAAAACCACCATGTAGTCATTTAACAGAGAACTAGAGAGTAAAAGACATTATTATACCCTATCCACTCTTTAGCAAAAGACAAACACTTGAATAGAAAATTAGCACAATAAAGATCATTACACACTAGTACTCTCCTAAATAGTAAGTATAAGTGTTTCATCTTCAGCTCCAAAAGAAAACACTAAAATGATTTAAAATTTAAAAATTTTTTAAATTAAATGATTTTTGATGATGAATAAGATTTTGTTTTGAACTTTGTATGTTCTTATGTCTCTATTTCCTCCCAACAACTCATTACTGCCTTATCACCATGTTTTCAAAAACATTATAAAGTATATTTTAAAGTTGTCTACTTAAGTGTTTATAATGTTCTCTAGTATTTCAATTTGCTTAAATACACAAATTTAACTATTTTGCAAGAAAAAAAGAATATAGAATGTAACATTTGGCAAATATTTTACATATGACTGATATTAGCATTCTTTGCCTAGTTTGCTCAATTATAACCATCTTTCTCAGAATGTATATTTTGCAAATAGTCAAGTTTGATCTCTTTTTCCTGCTTTCATTAGAGGGGACAGTGACCTGGCTTCTAAATGGCCTGAAAGTTAAGCTGAAGAATGAAAGCAACATGGTTATTTTTAGAACTCTACAGGCATAAAAATACAGCTCTAAACTGTGACCTACAGCTATGCACAGCAAAGCATCACATCATGCGACAGTCTTCACTTTAGCTAGGAGCACATCTGTGGTGTTTCAGACGACCATTCTTCATTTCATTACCAAAGACATGTCGGAATGCATTTAGGACCAGCAACCATAGCTGCCGGCATCCTTTTCAAATAGACTGAGCTACATTCAAAAGGCAGAACATTATATAATTGTGAGGATTAAATAGTAAGTTATTTTTGCCATTTCTTCTAGCTTACTTAAAAAGTGAATTAATGAGCATACTCTCCAAATGAAGACATCACAACCTCATTCCTAACATAGCAAGTTATTTATTCCAAATACAGTTTCAGTAAGTAAATAAGGAGGCTCATTTTCTCAACAGAGGATACATCCAGGAGAACAGCCTGCCCGAGTGAAACACAGCTTCACCACCAGCTTACTTGAGTAAACTCTTTGGCAACATCACATTGCACCCATCAACTTAACAGGTAAGCTTTAAACCTTTTCTGTATAAGATATAAATCAAAAATGTATTCGTAGACAGTACTTTACCATATATTAATATTTTAAACCTCCAAAGAACTTTTAAGAGCAAGTGTTAGTGTTATTTTCAGAAACTGTTCAGTCTGTAGATTATCTCTGTCTTTGTAAATCTAATTTCTGCTTAGCTACATAAAAATATTCTCAAAGCTTGGTTTTTGCCACTGACCTAGTTAAAAATTAAGACTTTAATCCATGTTATAATCTTATTTTGACCTGCATATCTAGCTAGTGAAAAACTCATGTATGTCTCTGGCAAATTTATTGTAAAAAAATCAAATATTTGCTCATCAGAACCATAACATTTGATGCAAATAAGCAAGTGATAATATTTCCATAGGCTAAAAATGCCACTTTTTGGCTGGATGAAGTGGTCAAAAAATGATTCCTATAAACTCACACACTATCCTGGATCAGACATAGTGACAAAGACTCTGCTTCGGGAATTAAAATGGCACCTCAAGGAACGAGAAAGATTAATACAAGAGATCGAAAATGAACAAAAAGTGAAAAAAACAGGTGTGGATTACAACTGGCTCAGAAACTACCAGAATCCCCACATGACTATCCCAGCGACTGAACAAAGACAACTTGAAGTTCTTTGCTCGCAAGTTCAACCTTGCCAAACCGGAACTATTCTCAGCAGGTAAAATTACTATGTTGCCTTTATGTGATATTTGCTACTGCCAAGTCCAAGTTTCTCATATATTTAGACTAGAAATTGTATTCTATCATGTAAATTATTTAATCATGTATACCAAATACCCCGCTACCAAAATCACTAGGGATAGGCTAAACAAAAATATCTGCTGATATCTTAGTAGTGGAAAAATGTTCTAAATTACAGTCAAAATTTATTTACTGGAAGCATAATCTTAAAGCAGTATGTATACTACTCAAATGGTGGATAACCAGTATACAAATACATTATTTAAGCTGTATTTGGAGATAAAGAGATATTACAAAAGAAATTTTCTCAACTGAATATTAATTACCACATTTCCTCTAGATTTCGAGAAGTTTTGGCAGAAAATGATGTACTGCCATGGGAAATAGTCTACATCTTCAAGCAAGTTCTGAAAGACTTCCTAAGCAGTACTGACAAAGGGAGTCAGCAAGAGGATATGGAGGATCCAGGAAGCACAGACTGTCCTGTTTCTTTCGCAATCCCAGGTGAAAGCCCCAAGAGGTCAGACAAAGATGAAATACCTACTATTTCCAGTTACGTTGACAAAAACACAAAGAACAGGTTCCCAACATTCTCACACAGGATATGGAATCTACCATATTATTATCCATCAAGTTAAGGTATTTACAACCAGAGGAGTTTTTAATAACCATCTTAGAATCAGAACTCTTAATATTATGAGTAAGAAAAAGTGGTGTGATTTCAAGTTTCTCTTTGTGACAAGGTCAGAAGTTAAAATTCCTGTGGATGTATCCTGTTTTAAATAGTGTTCTTTTTTTTACCACTCTAAACTTGTAATGTTTTCATTGAGCAGTATACTTTTAACTAAAATGTTTCTTAAATATTTCGAAAAAATGTTTGAAGTATTTTCTTATGCCTCAAACACATCTCACAGGAACTAAGGCAATTTTATTTAGTATAAAGTTTGACAACTTCTGTATGAAACTTAGACACTAACCTTGATTTTTGTTTGAAAATGAAGCTATATATAGAATAAACTAAATGATTTTTGTTTTAAAATGAAGCTATATATAGAATAAACTAAATGATTAATGTGACTCATCTTTATAACATAACATTGAAGTGAAAAGAAGTCAACATCTCATTATGCAATCATCATTCTCAGCAGGGGATGGGGGAAAGGGGCAGCAACGAAAGAAATAATGCACTGTTTAAAAACAAAGTAATGCTTTATCCCAACATTCAGATTTGTTTTTAATCACAATACTTTTAATCTCAACATTAAAGGAAAGTTTAATAAAACACAGCTCTATATCAGTAAAAACAAATAGACTGATTTAACATTAGTAGCTGCTACTCTTAAAGGAAAATTCAATGTTTCTAATAATTAAAGCCTATATTCTACTCATGAAAAAAGAGCAAAATATTTAACATATAAAATTCAACATTTCATAACTTCATTAAAAGTAAGAAACTATGCATTAGTCAAATTTACTTTTTTGATAAAGAATCTCAGCCAGGCTCAGTGGCTCAGCCTGTAATCCCAACACTTTGCGAGGCCAAGGCGAGTGGATTGCCTGAGCCCGCAGATTCGAGACCAGTCCAGGCAACTTGGCAAGACCTTGTCTCTACCATAAATTAAAAAATTCGTTGGGTATGGTAGCATGCGCCTGTAGTTCCAGCTACTTGGAAGGCTGAGACGGAAGGATCATGGGAGCCAGCAGGTTGACACTGGGGTGGTCATGAGCGTGCCACTGTACTCCAGCCTGGGTGATGGAGTGAGACACCAACTCAAAAAAAAAAAAAAGAAACTTTACCATTCCTGGCTGGGCTCAATGGCTCAGCCTGTAATCCCAGCGCTTTGGGAAGCCGAGGCAAGTGGATTGCCTGAGCCCACAGGTTGGAGACCAATCAGGCACCTAGGCAAGACCTCGTCTCTACAATAAATCAAAAATTAGCCAGCTACTTGGAAGGCTGAGGCGGAAGGATTGCCAGAGCCCAGCAGGTCAATGCTAGGGTGGCCGTGAGTGTGCCACTGCACTCCAGCCTGGGCAACAGAGTAAGACTCCAACTCAAAAAAAAGAAATCTTTACCATTCTTAAAGGTAAATCCAAGGAATCTAATGTTTATAACTTTATATTTGGAGATGGGGGGGTTTCTTTCATCTAAACAAAAAAATCATGGTGCCTTAAAGATGCCAAAAAAATATATGTATGTATTTTACATACATGTGCATATATATATCATTATTGGAACTAAATAAACAGTACAAAACTAAAACCTTCTAACTCTATTCTCCCTACATTCTTGACCAACTTCTGTACAATTTTCAATTGACCTCAATTTAATCTTAAATCCCAATCTTGTAATAAATGGTATCTCCCCAACCAGGGTTTAATAAGATAAGGTAAATGGAAGCACAGTCCTAAGTGGATCTAAAATAAAGACAGCTCTCATTCCTCTTCCCTTTTCATTCAGTTTTCGTGTGTGTGTGTGTGTGTGTGTGTGTGTGTTTTTAAAAAGTGACACTGTTTTATTACTACCTGTGGAAGGGGCTTGCATGGGGTGGCAGGTGTGCTGGGCTCAGGGGATGTGTGGGCTGTGAGAAGGAGGTGATGACAGAGGCTGGAAGGAAGGGGCGAGTTTGGAGGTCAGGTTCAAGGGGTCCTCAGATCCGCTTCGAGGCATGGGCAGCCTTGAGAAACAAGTCATGGCAAGTTACAGCCAAGCCACCAATCAGATTAAGAAATTCCTGGAAATCTAGCTGCCCATCGCTGTTGGTGTCCAGTTTCTTCATCATGCGGTCAAGGACACCAGGGTCCTGATTCTTTGTAAAGGCAGCCAGTTCTGTATTCATGAAGTTTCGGAACTCCATCTTGAACAGAGTGTAGCTGTTTCCATCCTTTCCAGCATACTTCTGGAAGACAGCAATCAGGGACTCAATGCACCGCTCCGTCTCTGTAGGGTTGGAGATTTTTGCCAAGTCGGAGCTGAGCGAGGCACAGGAGGCTGTGGCTGCGAGCGGCGCCGCGGAGAGCTCTGGGCACGCGGCATGTCTCATTCAGTTTTTTTTTTTGAGTTGGAGTCTCACTCTGTCACCCAGACTGGAGTGCAGTGGCTGCTCCCGGCCACCGCAGCCGACCTGCTGGGCTCTGGCGATCCTTCCACCTCAGCCTTCCACTCATTCAGTTTTCATGACACACTTTCTACCTTCAGCTTCTTCAATCACTCATTAGAAGATTTCTTAGAGAGAAAATTATTTGTGCGAGAGATAAATGCCCTGAAAAGTACACAATTGCTTATCAATATGCAGTGAATATAAAAAAGTAGCAAACATGAGTTTTGGGGAGTTTTTTTAGAGACAAAGTCTTACTGTGTTGTCCAGGCTGGTCTTGAACTCCTGGCCTCAACTGATCCTCTCATCTCAGTCTCCCAAAGTGCTGGGTTATAGGCATGAGCCACCATATGCAGGCACAAACATGAGTTTTAAGAAAATAGTATAGCTTTAATAATAAGAACAAACTCTTGTTTTAAACAGAACTTGGACTTGGTCTATGAAGCCCAGTACTAGAAATGATAACCTTGCCATATATATCAGGAAACATATGCCACAAAAAGGTCCAAAACGTGTCATTCTCTCTCCACGCACCTCAAACAGACACTGAACAAAGTCATACCACTTGCAAGAGAAGGCCATCCTCCATATTCAGACTAAAAGATGATTTTTTAATAGCTCCCATCAAAAAGCTTACAGTGATTGAGGAAGTTGTAAACAATTATATCATTCTACTAGTTCAGGATGAAAATGAACCCCATGCCACTCTAAGTCACCCACAAACAGTTAATTAAACTTACAATCAGACTTGAAAAGGGAATGGAAAAATACACTAAGTCCTGAGTTTCTCTCTCTCACTTTGTTGTTGACAATGACCTAATAACCATGTTTCCTGAAACAGTATGAGTATATGTAATTTAAAACTATAGTTGTTTCTAGAAAATCAAATCAAATAGAAATTTAACACAAATAACTTCCTGACTATTAATAGATCCTTGTTTTTATACACTGGGCTATTGATAATACCTAAAACTGGCAAAGGAATCAGGGTCAAAAATATAAAGGGAAGTACAGATGGGGAGAGGATTCCTGGGAATGCTTCAGGTATGTTTAATCTAGAAAAAGTAGTATTAGCACAGTATCTAAAACATTTAGCTAGTGAACAGTAAGAACACATAAATCCATGTAAAAGCATTCTGCACAGTATGTGACATATAATAGGCCCTCAAAAATTAGCATTACTAACCAACCCAATCCATTTAATAATATTAAATGCCTGCAACCCCAGCACTTTGAGAGGCCAAGGCAGAAGGATCATGTGAGGTCAGGAGCTCAAGACCAGCCTGGGCAACACAATGAAATCTCATCACTATAAAAAAAATTAAAAATTATCTGTGCATAGTGGCATGTACCTGTAGTCTCAGTCTCAGGAGGCTAAGGTAAGAGGCTCACTTGAGTCTAGGAATTCCACACTGCAATAAGCCATGATTGCACCACTGTATTCCAGCCTGGATGACAGAATGAGACACTGTCTCTAATACATAAATAAGTACAAACAAAGTAATACTTCTACATGCCAGCCGCTGTGTTAAGCATTGTATGTACACTATATGCAAACAGCCTCAGGCACATCAGATGGCTTCCCCAGTACAACTAACTGGTAGTGCTGGGATTCACATCTAGACTGCTATACCCCTGCCCCAATTTACCCTCTGAGCTCCAAATGCATATAGCCATTGACTATGTGACAACCTTAAAATCAACATGCTCTGCCTATAATTCCGGCTATTTAGAAGACTGAGGCGGAAGGATCGCCTGAGCCCAGCAGGTTGAGGTTGTGGTGGTTGGGAGCGTGCCACTCTACTCCAACCTGGACGACAGAGTGAGACTCCAACTTAAAAAAAAAAAAAAAATTAGCCGGGCTCAGTGGCTCAGCCTGTAATTCCACGCATTGGGAGGCTGAGGTGAGTGGATTGCCTGAGCCCGTGGGTTTGAGACCAGCCTGGGCAACTTGGTGAGACCTCATCTCTACAATAAATCAAAAAATTAGCCAGGCGTGGTAGTGCGCACCTGTAGTTCCAGCTACTTGGAAGGCTGAGGCAGAAGGATCGCCGGAGTCCAGCAGGTTGAGGCTGCGGTGGCCAGGAGCGGCCACTGCACTCCAGTCTGGGTGACAGAGTAAGACTCCAACTCAAAAAAAAAAAAAGTTAACATGCTCAAAACCAAAGTCATAGAGGTCTGTTTGTACGCTAAGAGGGTAAGTAAAATTCTAGAACAGAATCAGCTAGTGCCAACATACACATACACACTAAAAGCATAACTCCTCAGACACTTCATCAACTCATATTTTTTATGTCAGTAAATGACAGCACTGCCTATCTTCTCAATCCTACATGTCAGAAATCTTAGAATCATTCTGGTTCCCTTGGGGTGGTGGAGGGGCCAAAACACAATCACAAACAAGTGCAAAGATAATTGGCAAAGTTATCTTTGGTTATCACAAGCAAGATTGGGGGCAAGGGTTTAAGTGCTTGGAGAAGGGGAAACAGCTGAAATAAACTAGAGAGATTGGGAAAGGAAGTGAGGGAGGACTGCTTTAGCTACAGACAAAGATCATAGAAAACTTCTCTAAGGAGTAGATATTTGAAAAGGGCCCTGAATTATCCTGCCATGGAAAGAAAGGGAGTGAGGGAAAGCACTGCACACAGGAGAAACAACAAATGCAGAAGCTGCAAGGTGGGGATGAATTTGGTATCTTCAAGACACAGAAGAAATGCCAACGTGACTGGAGTACAGCAAAAGAGAGAAGCAGATTAGGAGGAGTCAGAGGGAGGAATGCTTGCTAAACCGTGACATAAAGTCTAAATTTTAATCGAAAAGTAATCCATGTCACAGAGAGTCACACACATTCTCAAAGAACCTTAGGTGTGAATGTTTACTCAAGTATTTGTTCACTCAACAAATATTAACCTCATGCGAGGCATTCTTCTAG